TGATCCAACCTCTTGTGCCACTCGTGTGGCCACACTGGTAGCTGCGACTCGGCGTGGTTGAGTGCAAGCAATGACATTCCCTTCAGCCGCCCACCCAGCTTCATAGAGATATTGGGGTAGCTCTAACCTATATCGTCAGTATCTATTATGAAGAAAACTCCCAAAAGCTTACGAGTCGTCTTTCCTGAACCAGTCTCTGCGACGACAATGGTCACGCCATACTGTTCAATAGCGTAAAGTAGCTGCTTCTCTGAAAAAAGTGGTCAGACTGGAAAGAAGACGAGAAAGGGACAAATGCGGACTATATTTGGAGATAGGAAGTCGTTCTCGTTGCTGCTGTAGGCTCACGAATGCTGTCGATACAGGTGCGGATTGGAGAAGGTGCCCTTCAGTTTCGGTCGCCCTATCAAGTGAGGATCCAGGTGCGACTGTTCCCGGTTTCCAGAATTGCATGATTCAAGTAGTAATACGAGATCTTATAGCAACCCTCTGCGGGAGTTGGCACTACGATATGGCTGACGAAGTAGAGTTCAAGTTCCAGTCTCCACTTGCACTCGATAGTTCGATGTTGTGTCTTCAGATCATCATGCACACCAGTTCAGTAGGAAAACTTTGTTTTATTGACTAGATATTCCAGTAGGTGCTATACAAGTACGGGAAAACCAGATACGAGATCAATGAAAATTTGGATGTAAATGAGTGTGATGATACGAGAGTAAGGAGCAATCCAAGAAATGGACAAGAAGGGATATTCAACGAAGGGAGTGGTTGGATAATGGTCAAGATAACAAACTAGCGGATATATGAGTGGTGGATTACGAGAAACCAGCGGATCAAGAAAGAAGAGACGCTTTCGAAACGTCCTCTGTTATCGCCAAGATGTTTGATAGAGATTATACATCCAATACGAGCTATGTGGTGCGTATCCTACTTCTCATTCGAATAGGACACACCCAACACAACAAAGTAATGTAAGAATTCGGTCGATATTAGCCAAGAACAAGGTGATCGCTTCATTATGTGAGTGGTGATAAGGAGCTGTTGCAAGATCTAAGACAAAGTCAATACCAGCTTCTGTGGTAACGTTATATACTTACAACTACAGGGTAAAGGAGAAGGGCCGAGGGTTCGAATCCGAGAATCGGTTGACATATTGACGGTGTATGTCGATGATTTGGCTTTCGCGAAGAGAACAACCAGATTTGCTAGCATGGATGAGCCACCGGCATAGGCCCTAAGCAATAGGATCGAATATAGGAACGAAGGAGCGTTTTGGTGACTGAATGTTAAGGAGAGTTGTAATCATTGGCTAGGTACCAAGATGGAAAACATGAAAGGAGGTAATGAGTGTTGAAAATATTGGAAGAGGCAACGAATGTGAAAAGCATGGTGTGCAGTGGAACTTGATGGGTGTTTGAGGCCTATTGCGACTCTCTCGAACTGTAGAGCATCGGCTGGTTGCGCAGTGAGCAAGGTAGCGTGTCAGACAGAACTCCGATTCCTCAGAGAACTAGGTTTCAACGCGAAAAAGTGGTGACAAAAAGAAGTCACAGTAGGACGAGATGGAGCCAACTCGTCAGGAGTGTCGGTGGAACGATGGTCAACGGGCGAAGATGTGCCCGAAAGTGATACAGGGCTCGAATCGAACACGAGGGTAAACCAAGAATATCTGCAAGTGGTATAGTTAGTTTAACCTGATTGTGGAATACACTACAGATTACTCACCGGACAACAAGACAAAGGAAGTCGTAGCAAAGAAAGGAATCCAAGAAATTCGTAAGTTCAACGGTGAACTGGTAGGAAGGTCAGTAGAGGAACGCAATCCAACAGATAGGCACTTACAACCCAGAAGTCGAGACAGACAGCAGACAAAACAGATCATCGTAAAATGAGATGGGGAATTAAAATCACAGGGGAGGGGGAGCTGTCAAACAACACCTATCCTCCACATATTATTCGTTACTTGAGAGGTGAGTCGTCGTAGAGAACCAGCTCGAATCCAGTAGATTGATCAAATAAGAAAGGCGCGAAGTTGTAGTGGTTGGTCAAAGGAAAAAAGACAGGTGGTAATTAATACGGCCTTTGTCGTTCACCAGGGCCTAGCATGCTAATGCTCCTTGTCATTCGCACACGACCTGAGCCACCAAGGCTAGCACGAACGTTTTCTCTGGCTCGGCCAATCTGGTTGGTTCCCCTTCTAGCCAAAGCGGCGCTCTCTCCTGCCCTGATCACACCTTCCTCTCCATTGCCAACACCCTCAAACTGGGCTGGGTCAGATGGGTCGGTTTGCTGATTAGAGTCATCAGAGTTCGATTGGAGAGCTGCTAAATCCGATGGACCGCCTGGAAAGAGAACACTGGAAATAGACGTTGTCGAGGTAGCTGGAAACTTGGTGGTTCCTACTCTCCTAAGAGACTTCTTCTCCTCTGTACCACCAGTCGGCCTGCTTCCTGAAGGGGCAAGTCCCATAGGGCTTGTTCTCGCAGGGTTCGGCTTGAGTACTAGCTCGGCTCCAAAGAAGCTTGGTTCTCGTTTCGGAGTGGTCCTCTTGGACGTTCGTCGGACGGTGGGAACGTTTTCTTCGGAAGAAATGATGGTTTGCAGCCCTGGTCGTTGGGACTTTTCCCGGACAGCTAAAGTCCTTGATGTCGTGACTGGCGAGACAGTAGGAAGAGGCCGAGAGCTGATCAGGGAAGTCGCCCTAATACGTGCCTGTTCCCTATCTGAATCCCCACCTGGGATGGTAGCAAGTCCACTGGCCCTCGAAACGCTACCATTCAAGAGAGGCGAAATGCCAGAACGAGCACGAAGTCGAAGGCTGCTTCGAGGACTTTGAGAGCCAGTAACGCTCGAGCTGCTCACACCCCTCCTTGTCTCTCCAATGTCGATACTTTCAACAACACTGGGAACGGGGCTGATCGGCCTTGACGTAGAACGGCGGCGAGCGGCACCAGGCAACAACCTTGGACTTTTGGTTGCACTAGATCCTCGGCGTGGTGGAGTCTTTGAGGACATGTGACGTGACCGGCGTGGTGGGGTCTTCATTGTGGTACGCGGAGTAGCATCAAGGAGATCTCGAGGCGAAGTGGCACGTGGTGTCGAAAGAGCACGGTGATTGTACATCTAGGCAAAAGTTTGATTAGTACAAGATATAAAAGAACAATATTCTGATACGTACTTGAGGGCTGGTCAATCCACCATTGAGACTTCGCAACTCTTTGGGTGGCGTAGTCAGCTCGTCGGTTTTGACCCGCTTTCTTCTCGGTTCACCATCCCTCCTAGGTCCAACTGGTGACTGGGTAATCGTTCTTGGCTCAGCGAGGTCCATCGACATCCTTCGTGTGATACGAGAGGTGCTCATAACTCTTGACCTAGGGGTGATAGTCTCATCTGGGTCGTTGGAATAACCGGGTGACGGCGATAAGGCCATACTCTGCATAGCAATAGTAGGAGAGCGGGTGCTCAGGAAGCCCATTTCTGTGTCGATATCCATTTGAGATCCAGGCGTGGCAGGAACGGCAGAGGAACCTGGGAAGGCACCATATAACGAAGGAGAAGGTAAAGGACTAGGGCTAAGAGACATAGTCCGCTCCCTATCATCCGCACTACCTGTTTCGCCAATGCGCGAATTAGGACGATCTTGCTTGGGCCTGACACTCTTCTTCCTTCCAAATAGCTTGGCAGGTAACAATGTTGGAGATGCCAACAACGCTCCCGGGCTGCTGATAGAAAATCTGGCACCGGCACCTTGGGGCTTGGTTGGGCTGGACTTCTTCGATTTGACAGGTGATGGCTCGAAGGCGGGCTTGAGTGGACTGTATTGGCTAATTGGATCGCTGCTAGGTGCGCTGGATGGAGGGTGCATGTCTGCGTCTTCGGTATCGTACCCACTTGCTTCGCTACCCTTGACTTGGGTATAGGACGTATCGGAACGCTCTCGCTTATGGCCAGAGAGGACTGGTGGTATCTGAGGCTCTTCACGCAACACTCCATTGGTGTTGGTATTGTTGGCATTGGAATGTACGCTAGAACCTTTCGCGAGCCTTGGATTGGGATTTTCCATGGCACCATAGCTAGGAGCACGCTTGATCCCATCATGTGGCTTGGAAAAGCTCGCACTCCTCTTCATTCCATTTCGACCCAACATTCCTTCGGTTAGATGTGGGTGGCTGATCGTAAGCGAAGGCAGGGAGGGCTGACTGGCGAGCGCTGAATTAGGAGGTTGAGTAGACCGCGACTGAGTCGAGAACAGAGACGAGGCGGACGAAATCGATGAAAAGGGTGTCCTTCCGGTAGAAGAAAGGGTCGTCGATGGCGTGGTCAACCCAACGGACTGGTCGATGTCAGATGAGCTGCCATTTCCACCAGAAAAGAAGGGATCCGATTGGAGTTCTGGTACTTGTCCTTGTCGCTGACCCTGAGGACGCATCATGTCCCGTGTGAAGAATGACTTTGGGAGAGGCGCTCTAGGTGGCCTAATGCCTCGACCTATGCTTTGATCGCCTGCAAGCGCTGTGAGCAGGTCCGTGGGATCCGGAGACCCTTCGCCGCGTCTGGAGCGTAAGCTATCATCGAATGGCTTGCGAGGAGATAGCTTCATTGGGCTAAGACTAGGCATTTGAAGATTGGACTTTGATGGAGAGGGAGAACCATCGTGCCCGTTGAGGCGACGCGTTGGAAGCGGCGAAATCGAACGAGAACGCGGCCTATCGCTTCCTCTACTCGCCGAGCGGGGACTGAACTGATTGTGAGTAGGCGAATTGGGAAAGTACGAATCGATCGGTGAGACGGGCTCCACGGAGGGCGACCGCGGTGTCTTCATGGGCGAACGCGGGCGGGCGTGATGCGAGTATGGGTGATACGAAGCGGAAGGAAGATTGAGGACGCGTTCGTTTCGCTGGAACTTCATGGAAGACCTGACGGATTGGATTCATAATTAGCTCTCAACATCGCAGGGCACGAGTAATGTTGTCGTAAACTCACTTGTAAACTTTCAAATCGTTCCTTGGACCACTGTGTAGCGGATAATCCATTGTGGGACTGATGATAAGATCGTTATTTTGACCTCTGGCTTCCTCAAACTCCATGAGTGCTTGTCCTTCTTCATCCTCGCTTCCCGAACTAGATTTGGCGGCTTGCTGTCGATCATCTTCAGCTACATTCTTAGCTACCTGGCGTAGCTTTTTGCGAATATGGCGGACGTTGTGCGGCCAGTTGTAGCGCTTGAGTTGGCGGGCCCACACATCCAGCAAGTTATCGGGCACAAAGGGAAGCACATATGGAGTTTTGGGGGCGCTCCATCTGGCAGCATTGGGTGGACAACCTTCTTCGAGAGTCTACAAAAAAGGAGAAAAGATGAGCTAGTTGCCTCGGAACATGGGTGAAGGTGGCTAGCAATGGAAAAAACACCTACTCGAACCAGAATGGCCACTTGGTCCTCAGTCCAATCGTGTTCTCGGTCGTTATCATCATCTTCTTCCTCTCCAAAGACCGTACTTGCAGTTGAATCGAGGCTGGCTCGATTAGCCATTAATTCATCTTCATCGTGACCAATCAACTGTCTACGACGAGTAGGGGGTGGCGTATTGATGTGTTCTCCGGTAACACCGCCGTCCATGTTCGAGTCCGCGGCTTGAAGTCTCTTGTAAAGGTACGGCGGGGTGGATGGCGTGATGGGCGACATAGAGGAGCCTACCGTGGTGTGGATAGCGCGCTGGAGTGGGAGCTGTGTTTGGAGTGTCGTAGGCGTGTCTTTCACACCTGATCTCTTTCGAGAGCGCGTCTGCATCGCGTCTCCCTCCTGCCTCTTCTACCTGCACCGGGGTGTCGCTGGGCTGGTGTGCTATGAGCGGTGTTTTGTATATTATAGCGCTGACTTGAAGGAATATTGTGTACGAATAGTGGACTTGAGCGTGTATATGCGTATAAAAGGCGTTTTGAGGCCGATATATATCTTCAGTGCAGAAGGGGCGAGGTCGAAGATGAGCGATCGATTAGGTAAGCAACCCGTCCGTGCCTACCCTCAAGTTACACGTCGCGGTCTGATGAATTGACTCCATTCACATCCAGCACACGAGCAATTATCCCGTTTCTCGCGCGAAAATTGGGCAATAAAATATCGGAATATTCTGTTACATTCTCGAAGAGCGTGCAAGACGCGGTATTTGCGCGCGTCATCCTAGTGTCCATCAAGGTTCACCGTACAGAGACAACTGAACCTAATTCTCCCGATGGACGAGGAATCAAAGCAAACTAACGTGTCAGATCATCATCGATAGAGTAAAAAAGTACAAATTAGGGTGGTATAGGGACTAATGAGCGCGTCGCAGACGCATACTATGACGACTACTATTTCGGCTATACTCGCTGACGAGACCACCTGTGATCCAGAACACATATATCACCCCCTCTTCTTCATTATCAAGAAGTAGCCCCCATACTGGTGGCGTTCTGGGGCCCTAAGGTCGTCTGCTCCCTTCTCCTTCTCGCTGCTTCTTCCAACTCCCTCTTCTGCACGTCACTTCTGTCGATGAGCGGCTGAACCATAGCCAAACATTGCCTCTGTAACTCTTCATACTCTGCATTCCACGCATTCACTTCCTGATTGAGAATCTCTTGAGCGGGAACTGGGTGTATCTGTGGCCTGGAGTTGGGCCACTGGTTCGGATCGACACAGTACATAGAGAGTACAGATTGGATCTCTGGAAATCTGCCAAGGACGTTCTGTTGAGTTGAAAAGACACTCCTGCCTAGAGTTTCGAGTTCCGGTTCTGGCATGGAAGTAGGACGTTCGGCTTGGTGGCGGGCGAATTGAGTGATCCCTTGGCTCAACTGGTTGATTGAAGTTTCGAGAGAGGCTATACCCCTGTTGACCTACGGGATGAATTTGTTAAGAAATTTTCGGTTATTTTCATTTATTTTGATAGACAAACCTGGTCGATTTGCACTTGTATTTGGGGGTCAAATATAGGGGCTTTGTTTCCAATTTTCAAAAATGCATCGGAAACCTGCTTGATCTCCACGATGCTGTTGTAAAGATCCGAGACCGGAATCAGAGACAGATTATTGTCTACAATCTCCGTACTCTGCTCTTCTCCACTAGGAAGCGCAGGATTCGCCGCCATCTCTTCCTGCAGAAAGCTTTCTAGAATATTGTCGACCGTTTCTTCAAACTTGACTTCAAGTTCTCCTTCCAAGTTCGTTCCCCATATATCTGCTTGATCTATTTGCTCAATTATAAACTGTAACCTATTTCGCAGGACGAGAAACCGCTGTTCCGGAGTCTGTTCCACCACCTCTGAAAGTGAAGACTCTTGCATATCCACGTCTTCTCCAGCTGTTATAAGCAAACGGTGTCGACTCGATTCTTTCTCCGCCGCTTCCAGGGCTTTCCTCTCTTCGAACCTATGCCGTATGTCTTCAATGGTTGCTCGGGCGTCGTCCAGTCGTTCACTGAGCCACCCCCTCCGAAATCGTCTCCGTCTTTGATGGAAAGCCTCTCCCAACTCCATCTGCTTTTTCGGTTGAAGGGAAAGTGGACCCGGACCATCCGAGATTGCCACAGGACCAGCTTGTTCTCCACTAATCTCCATCCTTCTTTCCATATGCCCATCCAATCTGTCGTTCGATTTGCTAGGCTCCTCCAGTGCCCTCAGCTTGTTGATCCACTTTTGAAGCGATCTATCATTTTCCTCGATGACCTTCATCTTGGCTCTTCGATCGTTCACCCAAGAATCTATGGAAGATTTTCCAACGATGTTTGTAAGATTGTTCTTCTCCAAATCTGAGTATGCAGAATAATTCTTCTTGTAACGGTCGAGGTCCGTTTGCGCATGAGCCAAGCGAGAGTTTGCACGTAACGACTCGATGATATCACTGTTAGAATTTAGATATGAATGTCCAGAGGGTGAGGTTATCGGATTCTCACCAGAGAAAATCCACGACGGCTTCGATTTCAATGGGATCCAAGTCGACAAATGTCTCATTTGATGAATAGTTGTCTTCCGTATCATCCATATCAAGCGATTCAGGAGGAAGGTTGCCAGATTGCGGTGCCGGGGAGTGATGAGACGACAGCGGGTCAATGTCCATGGCATCAACGGCAGACTTGGAGGCTCCTTTAGCAGAACCCTCAGCTACAAATCCGTTCTGAGAAGTTTTTCCCGAGGGATTACTGGCCGGTGTGGCTGAACGTGATCGAGACCTATTTGTAAGTTCCTTCTTAAAGGGGCTCTCCACCTCCCAAGTATTCTGAAAGGGATGCGCAAAGCTTTGGATTCCCATCATATCCATTCAAATTATGGAATTAATTCCGTCGGAGAAGGAGATAGGCGTCAGTACACTAGTCGAAACCGCCTCGCAATGGAAAAGTTGTAAAAAGGGGCTAAAGGTGTCGATACTCACGGGCAGCCCTGCGGTGTGTTATAATCTGGGCATCCTTTTCCAATCACGATCGTGTCTCTCGTTACTGGATCATAATGCGGACATTTCTCCACGATGGGCATGACCGTTTTTGCCCAACCTCAACGCGGTACGGTTGAGGCGTATTAGATGACGACAATAAGGGTAGCAAGCAGCGTCGTCGGTACAGTACACAAGAGCTAGGTCAAATTTACTATAGTTTGGAGGCTGTTCTGTGCGTTTGGTGTGCCAGTGGATGGTCGGGCTCTCTACGACTGGTGGACGTGATGTCCAAATGGGGAATCGTCAACTTTGGCTCCCAACAATTCAACCTTGGTCAATACGAATTCACTCGAAAAATTCGCTAATAATCCAGAAAGGGATGCTTTCCGAAACATTACGCGAAGTGCTGATTTGTTGTCAATCTAGATAGCACCCTTGCACATTTGTGAGCTATCTGAATGGCCGCATCCTCCGCTTTGAGAAAGACGGCCAACGCCGTGAATAGATGAAGATCCAAGTCGCTCGGTATAGGTTCTAGAAGTCATTTTTGGCCAGTCTTCTCGGTGCCACGGTGACATCAAGCGACCCATATGGCCGTCGCTGCTGCACAAATGAGCTAAGCGGGTGATGGTGGGAGAAGAATCTGGCAAGTATGGCTCATCGTATACTTCCATCAACGTCTCGTATATCCAGAAGCATTGCTGATAGATGGACAGAGCAAGTTTAGGTGGCTAACGTACCCGGCACACCGGCGATTGGTTTGCCCAGTCTTGTTCGCGGAACGTCGCTAGCGTCCGCATCTACGACAGCCATAACTTGGATCTTTCCACTCCTTCAGCTCACTCTCTTTTCCAGGACACTCGACTTGTAGCGCTGTAGAAGCGTCGTAGTCAAGTCCACCACACTCGTT